TATCAATGAGACCTGTTGTTCCTGCCATCTGAGGTGACTCAGAGTAAAGGAGTCAAATGCAAAATGGAGACAGAGTTACTAGGTTTTTTACATCTGCAGGCCCAAGAGAAAAGTCAATATATTTAGCAAAAGTAGCCTCTAAGTCCTTGTTACATGCCCTATGAGGTTCATAAGAGTGTGGCAACATGGTTGCACTGAAGGAGCAGAGGGCTTGTTTACAAACACACAGTTTGGAACTGGAGGCATTATGGAGCCTGCCAAGGCTTTACTCCACTTACAGAGCTGATGACTCTCCAGGAGACTAACCTATCCTACCTGACCAATCTAGTCGCTCTTCCATCAACTCAGCTCCTTTTTGCCACACAGCTCTTTTCATGAGCTCTGACATTGGAGAAAGGTGGGAACTGCAATTGGCCTGGGGACCATGAGCCCCCACGCGCTCTGACTCCTATGTCCCATTACCTGAGGGCTGAGGAGGCTGACAGGGAAGCCTGGTCATCCTTGGTCACCAAAGGGGCAAGGAGGATCCCAGAGAGATGTGGCAACAGAGAAGCAGGGCAGTCTTTGTTTCTCAGTCTAACAACAGAGCCTTCTGCCAAGGATTCTGATCACCTCAATTCTCCAGAATCTGCTTGGTAGTAGGAAGGGTAGGGAGGTGGGGGGCAAGACACATTGTTGTTTTTTTTCCCTCCCTTGTATTGCCTGTAAGGATTCATCATTTACATCTCATGGGTTGTGTAGCCTGGGGACTAAGAAAACTTCTAGGGAACAGAGTAAATTATCCTGGCCATACTATAACCAGAGGCTCCCTTGAAGTTGTTCTTTAGCCGAAGAGAAGCCTCACTTGGATGGTTCTATGCAAGCAGCATTTACTGTGTCATCAATTTACACAATCATATGAATTGAGTTGCAGAACAGTAATATGTCTGTTTGAAAAGAAAATGCTAGAGCTGGGTGGACCCAGGAAGTTGAAATGTTCTGGAGAAGACACCCACCCTAACTGATGAAGGACTGGCCCAGCCTGGAGCCTGTCTTATTTCTCTTCCCTATAAAATCCTGTCATGCCCCAGACTCCCTAGGGTAAAGCTTTGAAGTGAGCCCCTCTGTCTCCTTCAGGGTCAGCCAAAACTTTCCAACAATTCCTGTTTCTTGAATTTGGTCATTTTGAGTGGCAGTCAGCCTGGTAACAATACTTTGCCTCCAGAAGGCCCTCCCATAGCCAGAAAGACATCTCCCTGCGTGCCTTCAGCTATCCACTCCTGTATCTAGTGGGTGGATTCTGGATGGAAACTGGAAGTAGGGATCACCTCACTCCACTGCCCCAAATCTTTTGTTCAACAAGATGGGATCACTTAGACTTTATTCTCCTGTCTTCTTTATATGAAATAATCTCAGATCCTTCTATTCTTGTTTGTGACAAAGACAACCTTAGAGTTTTTTAAAAATTTTTAATTTTTTTTTAACCTTAGAGTTTTCACTTAGTCTTGCCACTTGAGGAAAGAGATTTCTTTCTGGATTCTAGGCTCCTGATCTCTCTTTGAGTATTTACTTTGGAAAATGTATTGCTAAGTCCTTTCTCTGTCCTTTTGAGTTGCAAATATCCTAGCCTCTTTTCAGCTTGACAACACCAAATGTCTTTTTCTAGGACCCTAGAACCTTCTCTTTGAAAGGTAAGCATCAACGAAGATAGTGCTCCAATCTCCCAGATTTGGTAGGAGCCTTGAGTGGGAGCTAGATGGAGTATCCCTCTGAGCTGTAGAACTATCTTCTCTCATGAAGCTAGAAGAAAGTTTATTTTTCCTTTGAATAAGTAAGGTCAATTAGTGTTAACTAATTGACCTTACTTATTATTATTATTATT